GTGCAGAAGCTGGAGGGGCACACGAGATGGGTGAACGCGGTGGCCTTCTCGGGCGACAGCTCGCTCCTGGCCTCTGCATCACGCGATGAGACGGTCAGGCTATGGAACCCGCTCACGGGCCAAGAGGTGCAGATGCTGGAGGGACACATTAGTTGGGTGAATGCGGTGGCCTTCTCGGGCGACGGCTCGCTCCTGGCCTCTGCATCACGCGATGAGACAGTCAGGCTATGGAATCCGCACACGGGCCAAGAGGTGCAGGAGCTGGAGGGGCACACAGATTCGGTGAATGCGGTGGCCTTCTCGGGCGACAGCTCGCTCCTGGCCTCTGCATCAGACGATAAGACGGTCAGGCTGTGGAACCCGCACACGGGCCAAGAGGTGCAGGAGCTGGGGGGGCACACAGATTCGGTAAATGCGGTTGCCTTCTCGGGCGACGGCTCGCTCCTGGCCTCTGCATCAGATGATGACACGGTCAGGCTGTGGAACCCGCGTACGGGTCAAGAGGTACAGAAATTCGAGGATGTATCCTCTATTACGGCCATCAAATTCACAGTCGACAACAAGACTTTATTCACTAATCGAGGAGCTCTATCCATCGATAATCGATTACTTCCTGGCCAGCCCATCAAATGTTCAACCAATGGAACTATCGTGATCAAAAATGAGTGGATTCGACGAGGTGAATATAATCTCCTCTGGCTTCCACAGGAGTATCGAAGTGGTTGTTCAGCGTTCGACGACAATACGATGGCCATTGGTCTCAATTCTGGTAAAGTCAGATTTATCCAGTTTGATAGTTGATCCTTTAAATTACCTTGATATCCAAGGGGTCTGGGGAAATGCATGATTATATATCCCTCGACCTAGATTCTAGAAGATTCTTTACCACGAAGAAAGGTTGATAAAGCTGTTGAACGTGGCCACAGCAGCATTGCAGCGTGCAGGCTCAGTGCAGCGAGCCAGTTGCATCGGTAGGTCTGCTCAGCATCTCCCAAATTGTGCACAGAAGATAAGATGGAGACATTGTTGCGCATCCCGATTGGGTTTGGCGCGTTCACGTGACTGCCTGCGACAGCCTCGAGTGCTGCGCTTGTAGATAGGTTTGGCTTAGCAACCAATTCAATCTCATTGACTCACGCCGTTGGTTCAAGAGACATTGCGTCTACTATAACAACGAGTCAATATATATCGTGCGATGTTTTCGATAATCTCAGCACCAGCCTGCGCCCAATGTGCGTGGCAACGAAAGCTTCCCCTGACCAGAGGGCGGATCAGCCGGCTAATTTAAGTGTAATTGCCTACGAGTTAATCTTGACTTCACGGCTCATTTGCGAATAAACGTTTCGAGTACCTGACGCGACCACTGCTTTTGAAGGCAGCCATCCATATCCTACAGTACCCGATACTCCACAGTTCGAAGGAGATTCGGTAAACGGGGTCAGCCTAGAAAGTTGTGGTGAAGTTTCCACGAAATGCTGGGGAATTTGCCGCTTTTAGGTCTCGTCCATGCTGACGGTATCAGGAATACCATGATAAAATTCGCTCGTTGATGATTCGTAGTTGGAGTATTCAAACTATTGCAGATTTGGGAAAGCGTGACCCACTTATATCCCTAGCTTATTGTGTGGATCACCCTTGCGACAAAATGCTGGAACAATGATGGGAAGCTCTCAAGAGACTACGCCCAGTTCATTTCACAATTGCATGAGCCTAAGTGCTCGTTTGGGGCTGACTCCGGGCAGATACATCCACAGATATATTGATACAAATAATGTACGTTGTCCGGGGGGCCTTCCTACTCGACATCGACATGGTCCATGGATTGGATCCGATCACTGGACCACCCCCAACGGATAAAATATTTTCCGAAACACTACCATCGGATTAATAATTTTCCGATACACTACTATCGGATCAAATATTTTCCGGGACCTTTGCCATCGGATCCAATTCGTGGGCCATTTACCCCCTGAGGAGACCTTCCACTCGACATAGTTCATGGATTGGATCCAGTGAAAACCCCCGTCGCCCATCGGATCCAGTCTGTGGACCACCCTGACATGATCCACGCATTGGATCTGATAAAATCCCCCGTCGCCCATCGGATCCAGTCTATGGACCACCTAAACAAGCTCGATTGATCACGACATGATCCATGGATTGGATCCGATGAAATACTGTTGGACAATAGCATTGAACAAAATGCTAGCCAATCATTTACAACAGACTAGGATATATTGCAACACTCGCTCAATAAAACTGTATCACCATCAACAGGCAGCAATGGTGACGTACGCTCGTTAGATATATAGATGGGCTCTCTCCTACACTCATGAGGAAGAGCCAGAGCACTCTTTCAATTTCACGAAGTTCAACAAATACTCACTCGCCATCGGATCCAATCTATGGACCACCCTGACAAGCTCCACTGATCATACTCGACATGGTTTACGGATCGAATCCCATGAAAATATCACCATGATCGGATCCAATCCATGGATAACAACAACAACACTAATATGTCCAGTCTTGACGCAAACATAGTAATTTGTACGGGAAACTACAAACCTTTGGATATCTGCAGCATCCATATAACCTCGCCGTCGCCTGTTTGGTATAGACAACCAGATTTCAACTTGAAGTTGGAATCCCTTTCAGGCAATAAACTCAGCCTTGCCGTTCAGCCTTGTGTGCCTCCTGCGATTCTGCTATAACTCCCCATGCCCTTGCCTCTTGGTATCGCTTCGAATGAGTCCTCTTCCTCTTCTCCCTACCCAATTTTGGCGGTGCGGTGGACGCAGACGGTTCAGACGCAGACGACGTTCCGCCTCTACCTTCGACTGGAAGACCTCGCCGGTGGCAGGTCGCAGTCTCCAGGCGGGAGGGGCATTATTGATGGCCCTTTCAAGAGGAGCCTTATACTGCTGATGACAGCCAGGGCGGGCTGTCCAGGCGGCGACGGCATAAACAAGAGCAGAAGAGGCCATATTGCTGGTTGAAAACACCACAGTTGCCGATACAAGCGTTGGCGATAGTGTTAAATACTGGCAGGGTTGGCAAGTATGAAAAGCAATTCGATCAGATAGTACGCCTTGCAGTTTCCCATACAAATTACTATGTGTGCGTCAAGACTGGGCTACGTCATTTGTATCAGTGTATCTGTGCCCGGGCCAATCAAGTAGGATGCTACAGGCTACACCATACTGCAGGATTGGTTCAACATTACAAGACCTGTACCGCCTTTGGCATCTCAGATGAGGACCAGTACAACGTGAAGAGAAAGGCTTCATGAGAGGCATTGGAGATGATGCGAAAGTGCTGGTTCCTGTCACGGAAGAGGTTTCGTCAATACAGCTAGAGGCAATTTCACCTAGAAATACTGCCAGTGCTTAGAGAGCAGCTGGTTTAAAGCCATACAATCCTTCTCCCATTCTTCTGAAGTACAGGCCCAAGACTTCTCCACCTGCAAGCTTCACGGATGAAGACGGAAGAAGGGTTAATATTCAGGTCCAGCCAGATATAGGTCAGAAGACTAATCAGGTTGTGGATCTGCTGAGGGTGTGTCCCACACCGCACCGGTCTAAGGTGGACTTCATTCGAGACACAGCACTGACAGCACTTGCAGACAGGAACAGCAGGTTATACAGGAGAAGGAAAGAGCTGACCCTCTCAGGGGGGTAAGATAGGCTTTGCAAAGGCAATCTGGAAGGAAGGCTATTACATGGGCATAGATCTATTTAGTTGAGATACCCTTATTAATCATAGGCTGAACCCACGTTGTTTCTGGAAAAGAGCCGGCCCGAGCTGGTGGGCAATAAATACAGTACGTTCGTCTTGAATACACCTTTTTACTGATCATCTGGATCCTTCCAGTTCGCATCGTCGGACTCGCCTTCCATCAAATCCATACCATCCGATAGGTCTTCCACCGCAGAATCCGTATCAATACTCTCTTCCGATTCTTCTAGGTCTTCCCCGGCATCGATCTTGTTCAACTGGTAGCTGCCACTTTGCTTCCCTTGGTCGCCGAGATACTTATCGAAAACCGCCATGCAGTCTTTAAACAAGCGCTCCTTCATTGGGTCATCATCATCATTCTCCTTCTTGGGATTCGTTGGCATCTTTCTCTTATGCCTCAATCTATTTTTGTCGTGAGTCCGCTCGTATAAGATGGTCTGAAGGTCCCATATGCAATCGATAAAGTCGTCATCTTCGCGATATAGTTCTTCAAAGTGATCAATTATCGACTTGTCGAAAGCCTCTGGATTCTCGAACCAATGCAATTTACCATCTGCAATATCTTCGGTAGAGGACTTATTTCCAACCACACGCTTCACTAGAGGCTTATTTTGGAAGGCGATATGATCGTCATAATTGAGTGATGCGATCCAAAGCATGACAGCAAAGAACGACTCCATATCATGTCCCAAGGTTCTTCGAGGAACTGGATCGTCTCGAAGAAGACTCGGCGCCATGAATGCAATAGTACCACTTCGAATATTTCTGCTGGATGCTCTCCCGTCGGCAGTAAAGCATAGATTCCAGTCAATGAGGGTACCACGCAGTGTCTTGTGGGTAAGGCCGCCAGTAAGTTGAGTCTCTTCCACCGGAACCATGATATTCTCAATCGAAATATCTAAGAATTCATTAGTACCATTTATCGTTCAGCACATTCGTAAACTTACCACCATGAAGAAAGCCATGCTCAGGACGTTTGTACGCCTCGTAATAAACAATCATAGCGTCGCGGATTGTTCGCATGAGTTCTTTCGGTTGAGCATTGCGCATCGCCTCTTTCAACGGCTGGCAATACGAGATGATAAGGCGGGCACGTCGTCGGCGCACGTCGGCGCATTTATTAAAAAGTTTTCTCTTCCCTTTGGCTTGCTGAAGATGTCCCTGCCCTGTCGTGCCTATAGGTGGGCGGGAGGAACTGGATTTTGAAGCGCGCCCAGATACGAAGCCGGATTCGACCACCATCATGGCTTGTTTGGTTATTGCCGCGAGTGCGTTTTCACAATTCGGAGGGAACTCGCTAGTCAACACCTCCATATTGTCGTCTGACGCCTCCACACTGTCACGACCTTCTGTAGTCGAACGGCACGATTCATGGAGCTGTGGAATGCCTCGTACGTTTGCCTCGATAAGGATGCTGATGACCTCTTCTTCCGGCGGCGGCGATGGGTGTTCAAGCTCCTCTTCCCAGGCATCCTTCATAACCCACTTATCGTTCGGAGAGTCTACAGGATGCACTCGCGTGACCCTAAGATGTCTCCCAAAAACGCAGGGACGATAGCGTAGTAAGCTATTAGGTGCTTCAGTCCACTTTATTCCCGCATACTCAATGAATATCGAGCCGTCTTTTTGATGGGCCGTAACATGGGGATCTCGTCCACGATGTTCAGGGTTCGCGATGAAATCCGCCAGAAAATCCGCGAGGAATTGAGTGTGTTGGGGTTTCTTCACAAAATCCAGCGGCTCAGAGTACCCGGCACAGCCATGATCAACGTAGGTAATCAAGGCGTACGACTTGAGGAAAAGAACCCCGTAGAGATAGTGGCGCAAGGGTTGATGATAGAATACGTTCCAGGCACTTCGCAACCACTGCAGGAATTTTTCAGGGGCCTTTTGCAGGGGGCTTTGCGTATGCTCAAAAACAAGTTCCACATGAGCCCAACCAGCACCCATTCCGAGATGGAAAAAGAAATCCGGTTGCGAAAGCGGCTCCTTGCTCTGTTTAGATTCAGGTAACGTCTTCGAGAAAGAGCTAGATAAGCTGAGGCCTTTAAGAACCTATTAAC